TATTCTCTCATTTATGCTTTTTTAGAGGTGTTGAACGAATGCTAATAAAACAAGAAAAAGAATGTTGCCACAATTAAATATTAAGAAATACTTAGAATTGACTCAAAAAAAAAGATATTAAATATGAATAATAAAGAAGAAGAAAGTATTTTTTGTTGAATTAAAATAGTGTTATAACAATCTTATTCCTTGTGTTAATGCTTAATACTTTTGCTTTAATAATCTAAGAATAATAAATCCCATTTCAGAACTTACCAAATAAGTTAAGTCTCTTCCTTGAAAATGAACTTCAGTTCCATTTGAAATTAGTCCGTCATACACTCTCAATGGTTCGCAATCATTATTTTGTTTGTATAATGCTTTATTATAAATTGACAAGTGGAATGAGATGTTACCAACCTTTTGATCTCTAGCGATCCACTGGACAATTACCAGTTGATCTTTGTATTCTTTCATATAACGTGAAGCAACCTCATGTAACACTTTGTTGATTTCAATCCTTTTTCTTTTCATAATTAGGAAGTTAAATGTTTTGTCAAGGACTTGTTTCTTGTCAATAAGAACTTTTTCATTTTCTGGAAGTTGTTCATTTTTTATTTCCATCATTTGTTGTTGAATGATTTGTTTTAATGTTATGATAAACTCAATTGGTTCTTTTTCATAGACTTCAAAATGATTATAACTTACTTCATTTGGTTTGACCGTGAAAGTGTATTGAATAGGAATGTAATTAACTTGAAGAACAAATGGATCAATAGAACTCAATAATATTGTAATTGATGTTTCATTTCTATGAATAATGTCATTAGGATTTGTTAACATAAAGTAATCAAATACAGTTTGACTAATGTTATTATTTCTTAATAAATGAAGATTAAAATGTGTATTTGTATATGCTGTTTTATACTTTAAATTTTTTTCCTCTTTCATTTCATGTCTTTGATTTTTGAATTGTTCCAAAGACATTAGTTTCATTTCGATATATCCCATACTTTTTTTAGGAATTACAGGAATAAGTTCTTTTAATTCTTGTGAATATACTAAATATGTTGAACACTTATTAATTCCACTAAATAACATTACTTTTAATCCATTTTTGTCTGTTTCTAGTTTCCAACTTGAAGAAAGTCCTTTTAAAACGGTAAATACTTTTTCTGAATCAATTCGTGCCGTCTCTAACAATTTTATTGAATTTTTCAAAGTCCCTTCAACACACTTTTTAAAAACTCGTTGATACTCAAGAATCATTAAATCACTTCCTAGTGGTGGATATTGTTGGCTTGAACTTTGTTCTTGCATAACAACTTTAGCTGGATTAGAAAGTAATCCTCCAATAATTTTACTTCCATTTTCTCCTGCTGAAAGACTTGTTGCAAGTGCACTTTCAATCATTCTGTATGCTGATGAGTATTGTTTTTGTTGATCACTCATTCCACTATTTGTTTGTTGTTGACAAAATTCATTAAAAATCTTATCCATTGCTTCTTTGTCAGGATATTTCTCTGCCATTTTTCTCATTAATGCAATGTATTGACCATTTGCTACTTCATCTATAGTTTTTTCTTTTAATAATAGTCTTTCAGCATCAACTACTTTAATTTCTTCTATATATGGATTATTAGGGTCATCATTATTTTCAATGTATGAGGCAATAGGCTCTTCAATAAAAGGAGTCATGGGGTTTTGCATTAGTATGAGTTAATTGTAAAATATGAGATCTAATAGTAAAAAGATAAGCTCTAATAAACAAGACTTTCTAATATCAAAACTCTTATATACCTAAAGACCTAACGAATACTTCAATTCTAGTTTCATTTTAACTACTGTAATATATCTGACTCTCTCTTGTTCATTTCTTTTAAGTTGAATAATACGAAAAAATATTAATTAAATAATACACATCTCAAAAACATCAAATCATGTCAATGCAATGTAGACACCAACCGAAAGAATACTATTTGATATATCGTGAAAAATTTATCGACTTGTATTGTAAAAATAAATATGAAATTCTTCAAACCATCTTAACATTTCTTAGAGAAGTAACTTCTGACCAAATCAAAGAAGTATTAAAAATTATTTTTTTTGATGATGACTGCTATAGAAATGAGATTTTGCTTGGAGATTTCACACTTGACTTAAGAAGACTTCATGTAGAAACAGTTTTAACTCTTTGGGTATTTCTTCAGGAAAGTAAAAAGAATCCTAGTGTGACAGCAGAAACTATTAGAATGGAACTTCAAATGTAAATTAATGATTTTTCTTACCAAATTTTTGCTTTCTGAAATTTCTCTGTTGAAACTTTTTAGTTCATTCAAAAAAAAATGCAAAGTCAACAACAACCACCACTTTGTTTGATTTTCCCCTATTCTCCTCCTTATTTTTCTTATTCACTTGATGCTCGTAAATGGACAAAAAAAATGTTACTTGACCAATTACAAAAGATGGGAGAACATGGATTAGCATATCGGTGTTATTTAAATGAAATAGAGGCAAACCAATTTTTTCATATTGACAACCAATTCTATGAGAAATATTCTAAAAAAATGAGACTTAACCTTGTTTGGATAGAACGTATCAACAAAATTTCAAACAAAATCATAGAAAATACAGCAGCTTGTGTTATTCAAAAAGCAGTTCGTTCAATGCTTTATTCTAAAGAAGAAAAACGGTATCTCTATTGTGGTAATGTAGTGAAAGAATTCATTACAACAGAAAGCACATACTGTGAACAGTTAGGTGTTGTAGAAAACTTAATCCACCAACCTTTGATAAAACAAGAAAAACCACTTTTAACTCCTGAACAAATGAAATTAATATTTGGAGGAGTTTCAGTTATTTATGGTGTAAACACAGCTCTATTAGAAAACTTGAGAGAAAAACTATCAGTTTATTCACAAAATTCTCGATTTGGTCGTATTGTATTGACTTTTACTCCATTGTTGAGAGTTTATAGTGACTACTGTCAAATATATCCTCAGATTAGTCAACTAGTAAGTTCAATGAAAGTACCACATCCCTTTGGGACATTCTACAAACTCCAAATGAAACAAGCACCAGAACACCTCCAAGGATTTGATTTACTCTCCCTTCTAATCACACCAATCCAACGATTACCAAGGTATAGACTATTATTGAAGGATTTATTAAAACATTTACGACCAAGTGATGTAGATTATGAAGACGTAAAAAAGGCATTGGATGAAATTGAAAAAGTAACTTCATTTGTTAATACCCAAAGCAAAAAACAAGAGAAC